AGCCAGAGTGTGCATATGGCAGACTCAGAGGGCAAGTCCGGGATGGGAAGAGAACAGAAATAATGAAGCCAGCAGGGACAGCCCAGTGGCCCAGTCCGGACTGAAACAGAATCTGCAGTTGACGGCTCTGTATTTTAAAAGCTCTTGGGCCATTCTAGTTTTGAGTTGTGTAAACTTGTGATCTGAATTTGGCACCAAGCTTCCAGGTAGCCGAGGTGGAAAGGGAGACATGTTATCTGATACATAAAATAGTTCTCACCGTCCAGGGGAGAAAATACAGTGAAACTCTAACTGGCACTTGGCTGTGAAATAAATATCGTGCATACAGGGGACTCTTGTTAAAGAGTTGTAAGGAACATGCAATCACTGATTCCCTGAAGTACTTTCTCCCAGTGGCCTTTGAGGAGAGCCTCGGGCAGAGCTGAGCAAGGTGCTGGTTCTTCAGGGACCAAGGAAATCTGTGCTAAGCCTGCTCTTCCTGTTGGTCTGAATGCATTCAAGGAGAGGACACTTTTTAAAGTGTTTTGATGGTAGAACTTTTTTCAAAAAAAAAGGAATCTCATGTAGAACCCCAATATCTAAACCAAATAAAAGTGGAGCAGCTCCGAGCAGGGAGGAGGGCCCAGAGCCCTGCCTTTTCGTCCTCTCCCTCCCCCTGCAGAGTTCCCTGATGCCACCCACCCACCTTACTTTGGAACCGAAGGGCTCCCCAAAACCTACCTTGAAGACCGTGAATTCATCATTGTGATGGCAAATAGGTCTGAGGTCACATATGAACACAACAGATGGGCAGTGGCTGGGGGGTACTGAGCTGGGAAGTGTTTTGATGAATCATTTGCATTAAGGATCCCAATCTTCATGCTCTCATTGTATTCAGTACACCCCCTTGTAATGTGACTTTTGGAATCCTCCTATCAAGAGACGCTGTTTCTCTGCCTCTTAATTCTGAGTTTGGCCCAGGTAATGATACAGCAGAAGGTTCAAGGGTGCTTGCAGGGTTCCATTTCTGCTCTAGCATCCAGCATCCTCACATGAGAACATGGCCTGCCAGCTTGCTGGAAGGATGATAGAAGCACAGGCAGCAGAGCCAAATTTCCCCAGCTGAGCTGCTGCAGACAGCCTGCCAACCCTCACCTCATGCAGGGGGCCCCAGCCAAGACCAGCACTGTCCAGCCTTAATCACTGAACTGCAGATGCCCTTGAGCTAAATAGATGCTGATTTTAAGCTGCTGGATTCTGTGTGGTTTGCTGTACAGCACAATTGTGGCAACAGGTAACTGAGACAAGTGTTGACAGTTATGTCTGGCATGGTACAGGATGGGGCTTCAAACCATCATTACACACGACCCACCATCCCTGGTCTTTCCAACCATCACACAGCACAGGCAAATGCACCATGTCAGACATTCACCTGAGATCACCTGCCCGTGGCAGAGCCTGAAGGTGAGTTCACTCCTGGGCACCATGTTAGATAGTGGGGAAGCCAGGGGTACAGGTGAGGCCAGGCTTGGCATCTGCTTCTCAGCAGTTGTTCTGTAGTGCAGAAGTGGGGAGAGGGGGAAAGAGGAAAATGCTCTTGAAAGGCACACACAATTCCCTCCTTCCCTTTAGATCATTCTCCAGTCATTCAGTTGGTTTGCTTTTGGTCATTCACACCTTCGGCTGGCTGTGGAACACAGGCTCCCCATCTTGAGAGTGGGATCCACCTGCGCCAGCTGAGCAGTGGCGCAAGGGGCTGGGGGTCTCATCTAAATCCTTGTGAAACTGTTCAGACTGGGGCCCTTGGTGACAAAGGCCAGCTGGCTGTAGCCTCATTCTCCTGGGCCCAGAGAGTGAGCAATGGGGGTGCACAGAGCCCTAGTAAACAAACATGAAATAGCCCCCTCCCCCCGCCCCCGCCGCCACCTCCCGTTCCTGCCCTGAGCACTCTGTGCATTGCATTCAGCTCGAGCAATGGACCATCCCCATGTGCATTTCATATTTTAGAGCCCACACTGGCAAAAGCTGCTTTTGCAAGATTGCTGGCAGCAAAATTGGCCCTGCACTTTCAAGGAAGATAAATGGCTTTGAGCTGAAAACCTCAAGACTATCATGCAGCCGTCTCTCGTTAGTGCTTGGGACGAAGGCTAAGAACTGAGCGAGGAGCACGTGGCCTTCATGACTGCGCGGCCTGCCTCACACCTTCTCTGGCGGTCCCCATGGTGGGGGTGTCACAGCCACCCGCCCCCCCGCCCCCGTCCCGTATCTCTGTGCTTTGCTGTTCCTCCTTGGAGCCCACCCCCTGCCCAGCCTGGCTTCCTCCTGCTCTTCTTCAGGTGTCATCCTCACAAGGCTGTTAGGAGTTTTCTTATCTGCCTTGGGGGTGCAGTTCTATCTGTGCGTCTGCCACCACCCCCTCCCAGGGGCTAGTTCCTTCTGGTGATTCTCTGTGGGCCTTCCAGCACCTGGGATGTGCAGGCTTCCCTGCAGAGCAGCTTCTCGCTTCCTGGGGCTGGGGCTCCAGAGGCTCCAGAGCTGTGTTTCTATTCCTTTCCTTGCCCGGGGTTCTGGCATGACTCTGTTCCTGGTCACTTATGGGGTGGGAATCGGGCCATCACCCGCCCACACGGTGCAGGCTCAGCCTCAAGTTGCTCTCAGACAACGCTTCTTTGCCCGCTCTCCTGGGCAGCTCCAGCCCTGCTCTCCCAGGCCACAGAATGGGCTTTTTCTACTTCTAGTTCAACGAGCGGACAGTCTTCACTGGCTCCCGACTTTATGCAGGAAGCTCAGGTCAAACCCCCATTGCACAGGGGTCCGGTATCCACTCACATCCTCCTGGCCTCACATTTGATTCAGCCACGGCTGGACCAGACAGTTCCGTGTGGACTTAGATTCATTTTATACCTACGCATATCAGCCAGGCCCCCTCTCTGGGACAGTTTGCTCCCTCTCAAGGAGCCTCACGGGGCTGTGATGGGGCAGGATCCAAGGCCCAGGGCTCAGGGCCCAGGGCCGGACCACATAGCTGGCATCAGGCCCCGGGAGCAGTTGGGAGTGGTATCAAGGAGCCCTGAAGGCCAGCATTAGAGTTAGTTCTGAGAACATAATCAAAGGTCAGGACAGAATGGTGAGTGTGAGACTGAGCACAGTTGAGCCAAAAAGAAAGGATAGACCCTGTGGCTAGGGCTGCAAATGTGGTCATGGGTGACACAGATGGGAATAAGATAAATACTGGCAGTAGGTCCCTGGGCAGCTGGTCACCTTGAAGACCTAACGCTGAGCTGTACAGGCCATGACTGGCCCAGGAAGGTAGTCACCTTCAGGACAAATAGGACACTTGATGGTAATACTGGTTTGCAGGCCCCAAAAATCCTGTATCTCCTACAGACATGGAGCCAAGTTTAAAAGAGGGGTTTGGCCAGCTCCCAGAGAATTCCTGGCCTCTCCAAGTAATGAAGATCCTCAAAGTTCCCTGCAGGAGGAGGGCAAAGAAGGTGCAGTGTAGACCCAACCAACCCTGGGTGGATACCTTTGAGAACCAAGAGGAAAAGGAAAGGAAATGCTGCTCTCAAGCCTGGGCAGCACATGAGAAGAACAGGTGCTGGTGACAACACCCCAGTTGGGGACACCCCTCCTCATAGTCTTCACTGGAACTCCTCTTTGCCTACTTCCAGGCAGGCTATGGGCACTTGTTTTGCTTGAACCCATTCTCTTTGAGGTCTTCCTGACATTGGCAGGGGTCAGCTCTGGACAGTCGTAACCACAGTCATTAGCATCTTGCCTGTTAAAATGGACAACTACAAGAGTGCTTGGCTTCAGTTTTGTTCAACCTGTATATTACCTGGTACCCTTGCACCCTAACAATTTCAGTGTTATAAGTTATTTACTAAAGACCAGCAATATCCAATTGTTCTCTAGCTCTTACTGTGTTTGAGATGCCATTCTAAGCATTTTATAGATAGTAATCCAATCTAAGACATAGTATTATTATGCCCATCTTATAGATGAAGAAACTGAGGTTTACAGATTAGGCCCCCTGCCTAGTGAGTAAAGAAATGGCCAAGCCAAGCATGAACCCTGGCCATCTGGCCCCAGAGCCTACACTCCTAGCCAGCAAGCAATGTTGCCTCCCCAAGAGATGAGGAAAAATTAATCTGTTTGGACAGATTCTTTCCCTGGGCCTAAACTAATCTTTGAATTCAACATGGCTCAGTCTTGAAAGAAAAACATCTAGGAAATTAGGAATGAAAACACTAGGGAAGGGATTCTTTCCAGTGGTACTCATTTCCACTGGTGTGTCCTGAGGTGTGTTACCAGGATTTGGTTCCTTAAAATATCAATCTTTGTAACTAACTGACTTATAAAACAAGTTAAAATAAAGTCTAGGTTCTGCCACTATTGTGTTCCTTTTGCTTCTCTGCCTTCCCTAGTGCCTTCTCCATGTAGAAAGAGGTCTTTAAAAAATGTTCCAGTCTTTTTAAAACAAATTGTTTTTAATTGTAGACAAAGTTATGGTACATTTTATCCTTTTTTAATTTACTTGTCCAGTCAGTCAGTCATTCAATAAATGATTATTGAGTGCTTACTATATATTTTGCATCCTAATGATGCAACAGTGGAGAAGACAGATAACACACCTGCCCTCTTAGAGTTTTTTATTCTAGGGGCGCCTGGGTGGCTCAGTTAAGTGTCTGCCCTTCGCTAGGTCATGAGCCCAGAGTCCTGGAATTGAGCCCATATTGGGGTCCCTGCTCTGCAGGGAGTCTGCTTCTCCCTCTCACTTTCCCTCTGCCTTTCTCCCTGCTCTTGCACACATATCTGCTCTCTCTCTCTGAAATAAATACAGTCTTTTTTTAAAAAAGGTTTTTATTCTAGTACAAGGAAAGAGACCCTGTTTACTGAGGGTGTGCAATGCTAGATGCCAATGAAAAAAGCTAAAGAAGGTGAGGAGATACATGGTAAAGGTGATTAAGGAAGACTAGTTTTAGCCACTATAGTGAATGAATTATATGCCTTTCCGGTTCATATATAAATATATATATTTATTAAAAGTATGTGCATCTGTAACATTGCACAGGATTCTTTAAATCAAGTAAATAATACATAACAGCTACATGAATAAAATTACATTGTGTAGGAGACTTCCACTTCCAGGAGCACGGATAGATGCACTCCTCCCTGTCCCTCCTACTAAGTACAACTACAAACCCTGGACATTACATAGAAGACAAACATGAGAAGACTCTGAAGGTGGAGGGAACACCACAGATTCTCTGGGGGACTTGGGGCATGTGGAATGGCATGCTCTGAGTTCCTGACGGTTTCTCTGCCTCATGCACGTAGGCAGACCTGGGGATGAAGGAACTGGCTGCCTGTCAATGCTCAATGCTTTCTCTGAAGAGAAGACTAGGAAAGGAACAGCCTGGCAAGACAGCTTTTAGATAACTGCCACTGTACTCTACCCACACAGCACAGAAAACATACAGCCCTACCCTCATCTGCCAGCAAAGGTCCAGTGGCGAACTTGACCTCTAACATTGCCAGGCTGTAAGGAGGCACCCCAAACTCATTCCAGGGTGCTGTTGGAGAAGACTGAACAGGCAGCAAGGACTTCCATCCCTGGTGGATAGCAAGGGGCCTTCCCCAACCCACCTCATCCCCATGTCAGTGGAGAAGCCTGAACTTCCTCTCCTGCTGGCAGCAAATAAGTCCCCTCCCTCTCCCTGCTGGGGCAGGAGTGGGGGGTGGTGTGTTAAGTGGAGAGACATGGACTTTCACTACTACCCAAAGGTAAAGAGGTCACTCTTCCCATCACTCCTCCTGGATGTCAGTGGGGGTCACATGGGGAAGAGTAAAGAGGCCCTCATACCCTTCCTAGCCCAGGTGGTATCAGTAGGGATCTGTAATTCTATACCCTTTCCCAGTAGTAATGAGGAGACCCTCCCCACCCTGGGTGTCAGTGAAGGCAAAATAAGAGAATCTGGACTTCTATCCCCACCTGGCACTGCCCCACCTCTTCCCCTGCCCAAGCAGTCTCAGAGGAGACCAGCTACACAGGTTTATGTAAGTTCCAGAGTTTCATAACATATTATCCCAAATGTCCAGGCTTCTACTGAAAATCACTAGACATACTAAGAACCAAGAAAATCTCAAAGTGAGGAAAAAAGATAACGTTAGCATCACAATGACAGAGAGGTTAGAATTACCTGACAAAGATCTGAAAACAGAGGAGGAATTGCTTCAATGAGGAATTACAAACATGCTTGAAATGGGTAAGAAAACAAAATCTCAGCAAGGAACCAGAAAATCTCAGGAAAGAAATAGAAGATATAAAGACCCAAATTGGGAATTTTAGAACTGAAAAATACAACAGCTGAAATTGAAAACTCAATGGATGGGTTCAACAGCAGAATGGAGAAGACACAAGAAAGAGTCAATGAACTTGAGATAGAACAATAGAAATTACTCAGTCTGAGTAAGAGAGAGAAAACAGGCTGAAAAAAGAAATGAACAGATCCCAGGGACTTATGGGACTCTAATAAAAGATCTAACATTGTGTCACGGAGTTCCAGAAGGAGAGGAAGAAAGACGGTATGGCTGAAAAGAAACTCAAAGAAATAATGGCTAAAAACTTCCCAAAATGGGCAAAAGACAAACCTGTTGACTGAAGCTGGGAAAACCCCAAACAGGATAAACCTGAAGAAATTTACACCAAGAAATATATTTGAGCCTCTAAAAACTAAACATATTATCCTGCAGCTTGCTTTGCTTTTTTTTTTTTTTCCCCTTCATGACATACTAGTCAGCTTTCACTAAGCTGTGCTACAATAACAAATGATCCCCAAATCTCAGTGGCTTACAACATAACTATTTGTTTCTCACTCATGTTACATGACTGGTTGATGTGTCTACACTATTCCAGGGCCCAAGCTGAAGGAGCAACCACATCTCAAACTCGTGGCAGAGATCAAGAGCAATGGCTGACTTATTGCGAGGGCTCTTAAAACCACTGCTCAGAAGTGGCATATATCCTGTCCACTCAAAACCCATGGACCACAGTCACACCCCACACTCAGTGTTGGTGGAAAAATGTACTCCGCCCACTCTGAGAGGAGGTACTGTAAAGTCAGATGACAAAGTATGTGAAGACTTGGAAACAGTAATCCAATCTACCACAGTCTGCTCACTGGATCATAAATACTCATTTCCTTCCTGGCTGCCCATAAAATATACTCAGTGTCCTCCCAAAGGCATCCCCAAAGTCTCATCCAATCATTGCATCAGACATTATGGCCAGGATCTCAGCATCCACACCAGGTCTTGTGTCAATTTCTCCTGGAGACCTGTGAATGAAAAGGACAAATCATCTGTCTACCCACTCTCAACGGATAGCAGTGAAAGAGCAAGAAGAACAAACACAAAATACTCCCCATTTATAAAGGGGAAGGCAGCTTGATCTGGGTTTGTGGTAATCAAGAGGCAGTAGGGAGATGAGCAATTGGAGAAGCATAAGAGATGTACTCATAGCCGCATTTTAGGCTGATTTAGGGGAAAATATTTAGATTTTAAAATGGCTGTACTGTTTACAAGTCACTGAGGAAAGGTTCACGTTTGCTGTTGGAACACTTCTAAAGAATGTAACAGTAAAAAACCTAACTAAAGAGGGTCCCAAACTGAGGCCCAAGAAATTATTACTATGGAAGCAAATGGCTTGAGGATGGGAAGAACACCTTCACCTGCACCCACCCACACTACCCTGGAGTGTATGTTTTAAGCACTGCCATTTCATTCTTGATACTTCAAATTTGAGTGAAGCCCAGTTTTGAAATGTAGTATTCAAAGAGTGTACAGACTCAGAATGTTCCCTCATGTATCACATCTTTGGAATGTTAGGGGAAATGATGCCAGACAAATGTGGCACACAGGAATGTAAAATGTGTCTACTTGTTTGGAAATCAAAGGCAATTGAGAGAAAGGTTGGTCCTGGATTGTTTTTTTCAAGTGTGCTTACAATATGGACAGTAAGGTTACCATGGAGTACTAAATGTAGGTGACAAATTACACATAATCTAAAATGTTCAACAGGAGAAAAAGGAAACTAAACAATGATGTATCCACAGGATAAAATATTGAACAATTAGAAATAGTTTCAAAGAAATTTTAATGGCTCCAAATGTAAATAGACATGTAAATGTAGGCATGTATGTACACACACACACATATGCATGCACAGCCTGTTCTTCCATACAACCACTCACACATTAGAAAAATACTCACGGGGATATCTAGGATCAAGCCCTGCAGAGCAGGGAGCCTGCTTTTTCCTCTCCCTCTGCCACCACTCCCCACTGCTTGTGTTCTCTGTCAAATAAATAAATAAAACCTTTTTAAAAAAAGAAAAAAGAAAAAAAAAAGTACTCATGATTAAAGGCATCAAAAATAAAGTTCCTAGGACCTGAAGATCATCACCTGAGCCAAAGGTAGATGTATAACCATCTGATGATCCATGCAGGCGCCCGATGGTTGTATTTTCTTGTTCGGGGATTCTGGAAGGTTAGCTTCTTTTTAAACTGTACTCTCCATATTGTCTACAATGAACTTAAATTTCTTTCAGAATTAGAACAAAAATACAATGAAAAGGTCTTTTCTGTTTGCTTTTTCAAAGATAAATTTCAGTCCCAACACATTATTTTATCCTTTAGACCTCTGGACCCATTTGCTGTGGAGGGTAAGGAACCTCGGCTAAGCCATCCCCACTTCTGGGGTCTGCAGCAAAGAAAGGCATAAGCACCCTTCTAGCATCTATGCCCTACTTACTCTACAGGCAGTTATTGTGGCCAGTAAATTTTTGTAAGAATAAAAGTAAACACACATCAGAAAATCATAAATGATGTTCCAGTCCTTTAATTTAGAAACGCCTAAATCAAAAAATCTCAAGTTTTTAGAGACTGTTTGTATGCCCCCAAAATTAATGTTAAAACCTATCCCCCAATGTGATGGTCCTAGGAGGTGGGGCCAGATCACCTCTGACTTGGGACCTCTCAGATCATGTAAGTGGAGCCCTCATGAATGGGATAAATGCCCTTATAAAAGAGGCCAGAGAAAGCTCTTGCCTGCCACATGAGGTTATAGCAAAATGGCATCTACAAACTAGGAAGCAGGCCCTCACCAGACACTCAACCTGCCGGTGCCATGATCTTGGACTTCTCAGTCCATGCACCTGTGAGAAATAAATGTTCAATGTTTATAAGCCACCCATTTTGTGGTATTTTTGTTACAGCAGTGTGAACAGCCTAAGACACAAGTCAACAAAAAGATTGTTCTCTACCAAGATTCACATGCATCTGACCTCAACAAAGGGACTATAAAATTCATTGCTGGAGCTGCAAGTGAAATTTTTACCAAGAACTTGCTCATGTAATATCTTATTAGCATCTAACACCTTTCAAAGTAAAATGCTAGTTTCCTGGCAATAAATTTACTCCATCAACCTCTTTGTATGCTGTAGTCATGAGGTCTTGGAGAAAGCCTTGGGTTCAGAGCCCTAGTGCAGGATCTAAGTGCTGGGATCACAGCTCTCTCACTGTGGCCTTCGGCTATCACAATCCTCCTTCTTTGTCTGCAAGTAACTATCGGAGTAAAAGACAAAATACTCAGCAGTCTGTACTCTATGATGCAAACATGCTAGAAGTATTTTTGGGAAAACTCCATCATTTCCCCGGGCATCAATCAGGGGCAGTTATGGGGGGATGGGGGTCTTCAAGCAAAGGTGGGGGGGGGGGGTCTGAGGCCCTGACACAGAGTAAGACTTTATGTAAGACTTTATCCTTCTTGCTGGAACAAGTCATTGAGAAAATGTCACCATCATTCTTAATCAAGGTGAAATGAATTTGCTGTACCTTGTTCTGAAAGAGAGGCTGTGTGCCTGCACTGAGGAAAAATGAGCAACCCCTGATATTAACTGATTATCACTCTTCCCCCTTCTCCATGTTTAAGATCCAGCTTGTTCACTTTCTCAGGGGTTGGAAAACCACAGCCTTCAAGCCAAGTCCAGCCTGCCACCTACTTTTATAAATGAAGTTTTATTGGAACATAGCTATGCTCATTGATTTATGTATTACCTATGATTGTATTTGTACTCCAGTGATGGGGCAAGGGGTGCTGAGGCAGAGACTATATGAACTATAAAGCAGCAAATATTTACTATCTGATCCTGACCCTTTCTAGAAAAAGTGTGTTGACCCCCTACATACTTTTTGATATGCTTGTTTCCGTAAATGAGTTAGTAGAAAGTTGTATATAAATTTTACTAGTCTACGATTTATACCTTAGGAAAAGATATATTAAAAAAGTAAGAAGTCATGTCTGCTGTCAGAGACCATTCGGTGGCACAAGATTTTGCCCCTTAAATGAATCCTGATTTTTAAAAAAGGGTGTGCGGGTAAGAAGCCCCTCTTCCCTTGCTGAAACAGCGGTCCTCAAAGGAGTCAGCTGTGGGTTATACAGGAAGACCCACAGGTCATCTACCACTCAGAGTTCCCCATTCTTTATCACACTATAAGATACACTAGCAATGCTAATGTCCACACTGTGTGGATAACTGAGATGCCACCCTCAGGCAGCGGTTAGGTAATACCTAGATACTGAATGTGTTTGTTAGAATATAAAGCGCATGTGAAACCCTCTCAACAGTTCCCATCTCTTGCTGTCCAAAAGATGCTCTCTCATTAAGTTTAAAAAGAATCAGATTATGGTCTACTCCAGAGATGGCAGGCATCCCCAAGTTGGCAGACTCCTAAAACACACACCATGAAGTATTTTTTGTTTCCATACTTCTTCCAACGTGGTCCTGCTAATTTTTTTTTGTGGTCCTGCTAATTTTAAATATAAAAAATCTTTCCAAATGGTTTAGCATTTAGCTAGCTATCTTGAAAATAGTTCCTCAAGATATTCACTCAGATAAAACATCATTTCTTAACTATCTTGAAATAGATTTCAACTGAGGAAAAGCACAGTAAACAAATTTTATATAGTAAATAAACTTTATTTATCTGTTCTCCCAAGATGACATTGCCAACAGTCACAGATCTGCATACAATACAGTATGCATACAATATTGACTATTTACAATTTACAGTAGTATTTTTTCCTCTGAAAAATATAAGTACAAAAGCTAAGTAAACAATGAGGTACTGCTGTTTAGATTTATCATATATATAGCTTAAAGAACTAGTCTTTAGCAAATATTCAACAAATCAATCTGGATAAAATACTCAATTAAATGCTCTAATTTATCAGAAAAAATCTATTAAGTTTCACCTCAAAATGTATTGCACAAGTCTTTAAAAATAAAATCACCCTAAAAATAAATAGGAAAGGCAAGCAGTTCTTTAAAAAGAGGGACAAAAAGAATGGAAGAAAGGAACATTAAATGAGCCCGTAAGCCAGGTTGAGTTATTCAAAATATCTTTTAAACAACATAAAGTTCTTCCCAACAAAAAAGAAAACAACTATCACCATTTCTCCACTGATATAATCGATTTGAAAGGCAGTCTGCAATATATCTGTGGGCCAATGTCAGATTTCTCTTGATTTTTAACTCCATAATGGGCCCTGAATAACAGCTTGCTTCTCAAAGAGGCAAACATAAACATGGACAGTCCTCCACACTTGCCCAACACCACCACCCCGTTTCTTCAAGACGATGATCGGAGCCATGACTGGAAAAGGAAAAGGGGAAAAAGGATTAAGAAAAAAATTTAAAGCCCATTTTGGAAGATTTGTTTTTTTCAAGTTAAAATTGATTCTATTGCCTAAGGATTGAAGTAGAAATATTCTAAATATTAAATCCTAAAAAATTTTTTTCCCTAAAAACTAATATTCTTAAAATGATCTGACTTGTAGATCCTGTAAGTCAGTGATCCTAAAAAACAAGATGTTTCAATGACTTTGGAACCATCACTGTTCACATTTACTGAATGCTCCCAGCTCATACCTGGAGAAGCTAGGAGTAAGCAGGTTGACTTGGTAAAACCTCACAAAAAAGTTATTCAGACTTAAAGAGAACAAAGAGGTCTTCCCTTTTCTTTAATGTGTTGATTTTTCTATATATTGCAATGCTCCTAGGATGATATGTATGGCAGCAGAGGACAAAGAGCATTTTGGTGTAAAAAGCTATGCCTAATCAGAAATTTACAAACTCAATTTTTAAAAACCTAAAATGTAAAACAAACAAAAAACCCCAAACTCCAAAAAACCACTTAAAATGCTAAGAGAAATGATGCAAATGACTGATTCTTAATAAGGTTTCTCTGATTAGAATGCTAAAAGCCAGTAACCAAATTAAGTTAAAATACTACAAAAATAAATTACAAATAAGATTAATAGAAATAAACTTTTTATACATATTTAAAGTGTTAGAGTCTTCTCAATTTATAAATGAAAAATATAAATCACTGGTTCTCATGATGTATTCCCAGTAGAGTATTATTTATAAAACTTGCTCAACAATCATATTGGTCCTAGAAACCTAGAGAAGATGAAAAAAAGATCTGTCCTATTTAAATTCCTGTGTCAGTTATTATTTTGAAACTTTAGCTTGTGCTGTTGTAGGAAAAGAAATTCATGCATGATTCAATAATGCTGCACAATGTCAATGTCATAAAAGACAAAAAAAAACCCGGGAGAGCTTTTCAAGTTTAAAAGAAACTACAGAAACATGACGATGACATGCAATGTGCAATCACTTAGTGGATCCTGGAATTTAAAAAAAATCATGAAACACATTATTTGAAACACTGGAAAAATATGAATATTTACTATACTAGACAACAGTTTATATTAATATATATATAATATATATAATTAACAGTTATATATATATTATATATATAATTATATATATAATTAAGTTTTATATTAATATTAAATTTCATGAGAGTGCTAATTTATAGGAAAATGCCCTTGTTCTTAAAGATATTTCCTAAAGTATTTATTTATATTTGCAAGTAACTGTCAAATGCTGGCAAGTACAAGTGTTTGCAAGCAATGGTCAAATGTTACAGATGGGAAGATATATATGGAGAGAAAGAGCAAGTGAGAAAATTTTGCAAAAGATTAAGAATTGGTGAATATGAAGGATATATAGGTGTTCACTGCACTATTTTTGCAAATCTTATGTTTGAAATTTTTCGAAATAAAAGTTGAAGAGATAGTCAATTAGTCAATAGAAATGCTGCGTAGTATACACTTCCAGTGATAAATGATAGTATTTAAATGATACGGTGATAAACATGACGAAGTATTTATAATACCATAAAAAAAGGAAAATGCCAAGGGACTTACAAGACTAAAGAAGTTTTAGATAATAGGTAAGGCAGGTTAATTGATATACAATAAAATCAAAATGAGACTCAAATGTAGGCCTAAATGATTTTTAAAGCTAAAAGGTTAAAAAAGAAAAGCTAGCATTTTAAACCTTGATACCATTAGCTGAATACCACTTTATTAACAACCACAGAAAATCTTCATTTTAATTTGATTAAGCTCTATTAATTGCACTGCAGCTTATTTGGCATTTGTAAAAATTGCAGAAAAGTCTGAGGTAAAGATGTACCCTAAATATTAGGGGGTGCTAAGTTAAGCCACTACCGTGACTAATACTTGGAGGCAATAGCAGGGTTGTTTAAATGGTGAAGACCATCAACTGTCCAAACAGTTGAGATGCCTTCACTTCCTAGTAACAATATGCTAACTACAAATAGCCACATTCAATCAAAGCAGGCTGCCTAAGGGTCTCCTCAGGACAGATGTTAGCCTGGTATACCGTATGATCCCAGGAAGTAATAAAATTGCATTTATTTTAAAGTCACCTTTACTAGTTTTCATTATTTCAGACTGGCCTTGATAAGTAGACCTTACAATATCTTAAATTCTGATTCTGTGAAATATATCTAGAAAATGATTTTTCATTTCTTTCTGGAATTATCTCTATCTTGAGAATGACTTTTCCTCCTAGAAAATGATTTTTCATTTCTCTCTCACAATTTCTATTAATTTCCAAGACTATCCTTGGGAGTTAAAAACAAAAAAGATTATAAAATAGATAATTTTTTTTTATTTAATAAAATTTCAAAGAGTAATTTTAAAACTTTCAATTGCTACTGAAAGAAGTAAAATTTCCTAAAAATTATATAACTTTTACTGGTGGTAGTGATTATCTATATATTATTAGTCTATAAAACAGAATTAACAGAAAATACCTATATTAACCCATAGCATAATCATGTATTCATTAAAGAAAAGAGCAAAAGAATTCCAGCGTAATGGTTAGTATCATGCAATACATTTGATTTTCGCACAAAAGACACAAGACATTATTCTTCACTCACCACATGCTAACTAAGCACAGACTGATGGTTTACTCAGAAGATACCACTGCGAGGTGAAGTATACTACAAGCCAGGAAGAAAAAAAGCTTATTGGGTTAGTTTTAAGACTTAATATAACACAGAGATTATATGTGTATATGAATTTCAAAGGATTAAACATAATGTACTTTAAAACTTCTCAACTCTCCCCCAAATCAAGGGAGTACAAAGTATAAGGAATCTGTAACACCTCCCTCCCATCCTAAGTAAATATAGCATTATGTAGCTTTCATTTGCAACTTTACTTAAAAAATTTAAACAACATAAAGATACTTCACATTTCAAATATTTATAGAATAGATTAATTGGG